GTATCAAATTAAAGAAGCAAAAAAGGTCGATGGATGATGATTAAATTTTTAACTTTAAATCGCCAAAGAGATATATATTTCTTGGATAAAGGAGACAAAAATGGCAACTAAATCAGACAATAATGATAAAGAAAATCGACAGAACAAGGAACACAAATCTCTTACATATTCCAAATGTTACAACATATTATAATGTTACCACAATTTGATTTGATCATGCTGCTTTCTTTTTAGCTGTTTTTATGCTTTGGGTCTTTTCTTGATCACAATCTCTTATTTGTGAAATTCAAAAAAAAATATATCGAGAATGTTTGAATTTACCAACATAACTTGATATTCAATATTTAATCTAATGATAAGATGCAAGATCGTATTTTTTAATTGAAAATGTTAATGGATTAGTTATATATACAAATTTTCGACTGAAAATGTTCAAAGCATACGTTTTAGGTACATAGAATGATAGAATTAAGGTACACATCCATTGAATGTGAAGCAAATTTTCTTAGCAAACAAGAATCTCTCCATACATATCCAGCTGTGCTAGCTAGCAAGTACATAAAGAAAACCTTTCTCCCCATTCCTACAAAAACCAATGTGCTCAATATGCTCTGGTGAGCAATTGCTTACCCTTACAGCAAAGCATATTCAGGATAAGTGAATTACCCCTTTTTATTCTTCCTTACCTAAATTTGGAATGGGTTAATATATATATATATTAAATAAAGAAAGAATAAAGAGAGAAGAAGAACAAGTGGATAAATGAAGGGAAATGGGCAGTAGTGCATTACAGTTCACATCATGGTGCATGTTCTCTTTCACATGCCCCCTTGAAATCAGCCTCCAAACATGCTGCCTTTCTAGGAAACCTCCCTCATCCTGATGACCCTGACCCCAACCCACCCTTCTAAGTCAAAAAACAACGGATTATGGTCCCTTGCAAGATAATATTATTATATGCTTATTTTCTCTCGAAACATCTTATGTAAAAAGATATTACTAATGTGTTATGGATCATTAGCTCTCTTTAAAAGATTAATCTATTGAAAAGTTCGATGACTATGTTTACAAATTCGAACTTTTCCCTTATCTATTAAATGTGAGATTTTTAATATTTTCTTTTATTCGAATTCATGATGCTGTCATTACAAGTTAATCATCTTACTTAGTTCATCAATTGTAAAGCTTGACGTGATATTACTGATGTATCTAAATCAATTTTAATAATATTTTATCATAAAATTATTTTTTTTCTCTCAAAAAACTAATCTCCCTTTATCATTTGATGTAAAATTTCATATCATGAAAAAGGACGTTGTATTAACAATCATCAAATTATTAAATTATTAAGCACCTTATAAGATTAATTAATAAAAATTTTAAATTAAATGTAGTAACTGACTATTAATATGATAAATTTTAATATAGAGAAGATGTTATACTTAATGCATGGACTTTCGTTAGTAAAGAAATTAATCAAGGAGCAATAAGAGTAGACTGTTATCTAATTATCTTAGCCTTCAGAATTTGGCGGCTGGCCATAAATCAAAGGGTTTAAATCCAGACCTTCAAGGCAATTAAATGCCACGTGGCGAGATCAGAAGCGCCTACTTGGCACCGCCAAATGAACCTGATAGGCACGACTTGGGATGTGGAAGCCGACAGTTGAGAGTGGCGGGCAATACACGAGAAGGACACGATGGATGTGGACCAATAAAATAGGGCCGCGTGTTACCTTATGTGGGGCGCTTGATTACAACAAGCGCGGCCGAGTTGGAGAGCATTAAGGCCGAGTCGGCTCGGGGGAAGAGCAATGAGAGAGTGACACGTATCTCCAATCAAAGGACCGTGCCTTTTCTGCCGGGTTGAGGCGGTAAACGCGGAGATTGAGTCCAATTAAGAGAAGCTTCTTCGGATCTGGTTCAGGAGAGAAAGGTTGGAATTTTTGCAACAAGACAAATTGCCACAAAAAATAAAAGAAAAAGAAAGAAGACTTATCCACAAAACATCTATTTCACAATTGATTGAACTAAAGGAAGTGCCCCTGTTTTGATTTTTCAAATAAAAATTCTAAATAATAAAAAAATAGTTTTGGGACCTAAGTTTTTATTGATAATAATTATCATGGGTTTACATTTAATGCACCATCACTATATAGCATTTGTATTCTAATAAGATAATAACGTTTATAAAATTTATATCCAGATAATGCATCAAATATAAATAATAGCATATTATGATTTTACATGAAGGGTAACTAAAATGTATTTATAAATCTATATAACTCAAATTTTATATATATTTAATAGTAAAAAATAAAAATTAAATATCTAAAAGGTGACAGTCGTCATCATCTTAACTCTGTTACTAAATATAAATTTTCTGGGTGAATTTTTTACGATAAAAAATAAGTAATTCTTTTTATAAATGCAACATGTCTTCAAAATTTATATAAAAAAAATTTATTAGATATACATTGTGGAGAATCAAAGTCCCTCAAGAACTTGCTAGAAAACCCATCATGTCAAACTTATTTAAACGTGTAACATTTGTCAACAATGAGCATCAAGCAATTGTTTGTATGGCTACCTTTAGAGATGTATTCAACACAAGAATATGAGAATATATGCAAATACAAGGGGGTGGTTCTTACCATTTTTGTTTTCTTTTGGTAGTTGAACACCATTAGAATTTGAATATACGAAAGATTTTCTAATGTTTCTTACAACTAATATACTAAATATAGTGAGGGGTCGGTTCATTTATTTCTTAAGTCTAAAAAGAGGCAAAAGAAGCCAAAATAGGTTTTAAAAAAAAATCTTTTGTTAATGAAACATGTGATTAATCAAGAACTCCCTTCAGTCAAACTCTTTTATTTGGCTTTAAATATAGGAAGGTATACCATCCTCATGACCCACGATACTAAATGAAATAGATAGTTTTCTAAGGCAAGGATCTTGATATATTCTTGATGAAAATCAACCCCATATATCTTCTTGTGACAAATCAATATCTAGTTATCCAAAGTCTAATTTTATTAAGGTTTTTTTTATAATCGAGAAAAGAAAAATTTAAACCGTACTCTTTAAGTAAAAAGATCATATACTAATTAATGAATTAAATATTCGAGTGGCTACTTTCATGTAATTTGTTTACTAAAATTTAATAAATACAAATGTAATAATGTTATTTAAAATGCCTTAATACAACTTCATTCATTTTTGTATTGTATACAAAATTTTTCTTTTCATAACATAACATCAGATTCATTTTATCAATTTTTATTTTGCATTTTCTATTATTCACACGTTAATGTCACACTAAACCTTTTCGAAGAAATATATAAGGTTAATTTTTTATTATGTAAGAAACAAGATCTTGAGAAACTGATAACTATTGGTGCTGCACTGTATGAGTTTAACAGAAGTAATAATGGTTCTCGTGATAAAATAATATTAGAACGAATTTAATTTAAACTTAATTTATTTCAAGTTCTTCCAAATAGAGACAAACATAATGAAGATAACATCGAGAGGATGCCGAATTGAGTGGAGAAAGTTACATTAAACGTTTTAGAGAAAATTAATAAGGATGTTTCACGATCTAAAAAAATTTATAAACGTAAATTGTACATTTTATTAAGTTAACTTTTTGAGAAGAGAGCAATGATATCGTGATAAGTTTTGATCGAATTTGTTTATTTTCTAAAATTAGTGAATGCAAAAATTGTCAATATTTTTCAAAAATGTCTTAATCCCATACATACATACGCTTGATGTTTCCGAGTTGCAAACATGGAATTGGTGTTAAAACTTACTTGACTAAATTGGCTTCAATCAAAGCTCTTTCATAGCCGTTTATGGATCTGACTTTTCATGACTCGTTCGGTGCAAACGTTAGATCGCTTCTGTTTATTTGGCGGGCTGCTTTGGAGTTAATCAAGATGGTGGGCTGCCGTCGTTTTCAAATTTCACCACCCCAACAAGTGGCCGGTAAATTTGAAAAGTTTCCCTTGAAGGCGGTAAACCGACAATGGCATGATCGTAAATAGTGCGCAACGATGGGCATAAATGTGGATAAAGCCAGGTCAGATGGTAAGCGTTTGACAGTTGACCCCTCTCGATGGAGAACACTGAGGAAGCATCCCATGAACTCCACAGGAATAATTGTTCGAATTTGGCATGGGGTACATGATCAGCTACGGCACTACCTATTAATTTAATCATACATCTCATTTTTATCAATTTTCCTATTTTCCATGAAAAAGACTTTTTTTATTTTTTTTTCTCTAAATTCATCCTCTACAAAATTATGTGAATAAATGTACAAATTTATGAACTACGTATATCATAAATATTAGACCTTATTAAGATATTAATATAATTCCATTAATAAAGATTTTACAATATCAATTAAGGGTTCCTTTTTTATTTTTTACTTCACTCATATCTTACAATTAGATTATATTTGATACATAATCACTATATAACACCAATACATTATCAGTCAATTATATATGTTATCATCTCGTTAAATAAATAAGCTTAAAATTTGAAAACTCTACAAAATAAATACAAAAATTGTGATATTTCAAAAGTATATATAAAGTTTTGGGAAGAAATTTGGAAGAGCTAAGTGGCGGAAGATGATTGGTGGAGAGATGAGTGGATAAGCTAAGAAGAAATGTAGCTGATCAGCTTGGCAAAGCGGACTTTGGTTGAACATTAAAAAACAGACAACGACCGAAGTCTAACTTGGAACGGTTCCCTTCCACTTTTCCCAAACACCCCATGAGATATCCCAAGTTCGGTCTGAAACAAAATATTTTGGATAAGCTTCATTTATTTTCCAATTTTTTTAATTACCTTCCCCACAAAAAAAAAATTAAAGAAATTCAAATTTTCTGTTTCCTCGTCACCCCCCCCCCGCCCCCCCCCGATTCTTTCTTTCCAACGCCTTTTCTCTGTTTGGGGTTAATCGCCGCGTTATAAATACCCCAATCTGTCTTCTCTCTTGCTGTCAAGATAATCCCAGAAATTGACATCCCGGAAAAAAAGAAAGATAATCCCATTTTTTGTTCTGGAAAATGGTTGATTTAGATTGGAAAGCAAAGATGGTTTCTTCCGATATTCCGAACAAATCTCCGAAGCTGTCTAACAAGCTCCAAGTGTCGATTCCGACGTCGTTTCGTTTCTCGAATGTTTCGTCTCCGTTTTCCACTTCCGCTTCGGCTTCCTCGGCTACGACTATTATCTTCGGCTACCGGAGCTTAGGAAGTTATGGGAGACGAAGGAGTTTCCGGATTGGCAAAACGAGTCCGTTTTGAAGCCGGCTTTGCACGCTTTGGAGATCACGTTCCGGTTTATTTCGATTGTTTTGTCGGATCCCAGGCCGTATTCGAATCGTCGGAGTGGACGCGTAGGCTCGAGTCGCTCACCACGAGTCAGATCGAACTCATCGCTATGCTTTGCGAGGATGAAACGCGGATAAAACAGCGCGGGTACGGCGCCACATCGTCGATCTGACATCGTCGAATGGAGTTTTAGCTCGCGAGAGCAGCTCCGCCGAGGTGTGGAAGATTCACGGAGAAGCGACGGTGGTGAGCCGGACCAGCGAAGCCAGCTTGTTGCCTCGATTAGCCACGTGGCAGAAATCCGAAGACGTCGCGCAGAAAATCCTCTATTCCATCGAGTGCGAGATGAGGCGGTGTCCGTACACTCTCGGTCTGGGAGAGCCGAACCTTTCCGGCAAACCGAACCTCGACTACGACGCCGTTTGCAGTCCGAACGAACTCCATGCGCTTAAAAAGAGTCCGTACGATCACATCGATAACACACGAGAACGCGACGCTGTACACGACGCATCATATTCTCGAATCGTGGATCCAATCGGCAAAACAGGTACTGAAACGCATCGCTTCGAGGATCGACGCTGAGAGCTTCGAAGCCGCCGCGAGCGACTGTTACCTGATGGAAAAGATCTGGAAGCTTCTGGCGGAAATCGAAGATCTCCACCTCCTGATGGACCCGACGATTTTCCTTCACCTGAAGAGCCAGTTACTGATAAAGTCCGTCAGCGAGACGGAGGCGTTCTGTTTCCGATCGAAGGGGTTGGTCGAAATTACGAGAATGTCCAAGGAGCTGAAACACAAGGTCCCGTTCATCCTCGGCGTCGAGGTGGATCCCAAGGGAGGTCCCAGGATTCAAGAAGCAGCGATGAGATTGTACGCGGAGAAACAGGAGGGTAGTAAGGTCTTTTTGGTACAAGCCCTGCAAGCCATCGAAGGAGCCTTGAAGCGGTTCTTTTACGGGTTCAAGCAAGTCCTGGTGGTAGTGATGGGGAGTTTAGAAGCGAAAGGGAACCGAGCCGTGGCGAGCTCCGACGTGGGTGACTCGTTGAGTCAGATCTTCTTGGAGCCTACTTACTTCCCCAGCCTGGATGCGGCCAAGACTTTTTTGGGCGAGTTTTGGAGCCATGAACATGGTGGGTCTGGATGGACTCCGTGGAGGAAGTGATGACTCTGTGCCGGTTCTTGGTTAAAGAGATAAATTACAGAAAAGAAAAAAGATTAACAAAAAAAAGAGAGAGTAAAGATTAATTATTCTTTTGTAGTATTAAGTGTTTGGGGGTCGATTATTGTTTGTACACTAAAATTTTTGTAAAATGGAAATCCCATGTTTGCCCACTAAATCCTTTCTCTATCAACTTCTTTTAATCCAATTCTCTGCTGAAGCCTGGAACAATGGCAACCAGGAAAAACGTTATGACAGTGACAGGATCCATAGATTGTTGGGTCGCGCATCGCTTTGCTCCATTGCCAACGTTGGCATGTGAAAATTGTCAGCGGACAGGACCCGGTAAACGAACTCCATCAAACTGCTACATGGGATAACAGTTGGAAACAGGATTGTGGAAAACTTTATGATTCTTGGTCCGGATTTGAGCCTGGTTTTCCCCATTTGAGCTGCACGTGAAAGCTAGTGTATGCCATGAACCAGCAAGGATCAGGATATAGGGATACATACATTTAATCTTGTGCTTGAATGCTGGTTTGTTGGGTGGTGGGCAATTCTAGGCATAGTTTTCACTGGCCCAAATTAGAAAAAAAATTAATATTTGATGTGCATAAATTCTATACATTATAATGAATTAAGTTTAGTATTTAACTTAATCGCTCTAATTTGATCAAATTGAATATAAATATAAGAATACAAATGTGTACAAATTTTGATAGATAAAGAAATTTTAATTATGATGAGTTGTTATCATTAGAATAGAATATTTTAAATAATAATTTTTTATAAAATAAATTATTAATTACATAGTTAAACTGTGTATATTACATTAGTGAACGAGGTATATGTATTTATAAACTTAATTCTGTTAATGATCTAACTGTAACTAATTGATAGTATTATTGTATTGTATTATAACTCTAATTAAATAATTAATATATATATATTGACAAATTTGATTTCAATATCATTCAAATATCCAAAGGTTTGGCAAAGGAAGATTTTCTTTCTTGTTTTCTCTTGAATATATGTTTTGATTTTTTTATCTATGTAAATGATAATCATGTCATTTGATAAGGAGCTGTTTAGATCTTTTGTATTCTGTTTTGCTCTTTGGTATCGATTTTATGTTATTGTTTGCTTGCTTGGTGATGAAATTGCTTCAATACCTAATGGAAGAACAGGCTTTGTCTTTGATCAAACCAACTAGTACTTAGCTCATAGAAAAGTGCTGAATTCAAATGCCTCCAGGCTCCTGCCTTTTTTTCCGGGTCTGGATTTGTTTAACTTCAGGACAAGTCTGAGTGAAAGTTCACACTCCTGTGAGTCTAGTTTGACAGCTTCTAGACACCCAAACTGTCCCTTTCTAGGATTTTCCAAGCAAATCTCGAAATTTAGTTTGTCTCCAGGCTCCAGCTTTTTTTCCAGGGTTGGATTGGGTTAACTTCAGGACAAGTTTGAGAGTGCAACTCACGCTCCTGTGAGTCTAGGGTTTTCCAAGCCAATCCCGAATTTAGTTTGTCTCCAGGCCCCTTCTCGTTACTAGAAAACATCCCAAATTTTCCATGGTTTTCACTTGTCAGTCCAATGCATGGCCACCAGCAACGTGTCTCTCTGACAGTTTTTGCCTGTTTACCATTCCCATAACGCCAAGTGTCATAGCCAAAAACCCAAAAACCAGTCTCCAATGCTTGTTGCTGCAATTTTATGGCACATGAATCGGACCTAAACCGCCTAAAGCTAAGCTGATACACCTGATCATCGGATCTTTTTTCACCAAAAGCTAGCCATGGGGCTTTCACCTATCTCAGCAAACAATGTAGTTAAACCACGTGGGTCTAATGCCAACCAAAGAAACGCTCTCGACCTTGGACAACCAGTAGAAAAGGGAAAGAAGAGGTGAAAGAGTTTTTGAATGATTCTTCACTTCACCAGATGTCCCTTTTTTTGGAAAAAAACAACCAAATTTGTTTTAGAATTAAGCAGCTTGTCAGAGCCTTTGCCTCTTTTCAATGTTTGATGTGAACCAAAAGATTTTTAAATTTTTTTAATTTCTTTTCCCTTCCCCCAAGCAAATATCCATATTCTGATAAGCTTTTCAATCTCCATTGTCAACTTTGTTTGATCCTCTGACGGGTAAACCGTTTCTTCTCCATGAAAATTGCTTTGTTTGATGTGAAAGGGATAGTACTGGAGGGAGACTGTGATTTGTTTTTCTTGACTTTTTAACAGCTTTGCTTTTGTTAGGATCTGATTTTTTCCGTTTAGATTTATATCAGATAGAAAACAAAAGTTTTCAACTCTTTGCCACCTTTTCCTTTACACGGGCATCATGGGACTTTTGACCCAAGTTTTCCCTAATGCTTCTTATTTATTAATGGTTTTGCCAGCTTCAACCCTTTCCTTGCTTTAACAGGGTTTCTTTGGTTGTTATCTTCTTTTAGCAGATTGAGACCAGATTAAAGGGTATGGAGCTAAGTTTTGCACCAAAGAGTATGCAGATGTCAATGCTCAAACTCCCCCCAAAACCAGCCTCTTTCATCTCCTCTGTATGGTTTGCAACTCATGGTGGACGCAGCCAACCTTTGGCCTATTGCTTGGTCCATCGTTCGACTCTTTTTAGCTCAAGAAAGTTTAGAGGTCCTAACCTGAAACTTGCTTGCTGTGTAAGATTCAATGATTTCTCCGATGGAGAATCGTCGGAATGGTTTGGAAGAGATTTTCAGCTTTTTTATTATACCAAAGATGAAGAAAACTATGAAGAGGAACCTGCCCCAGCAGTTTATGAAGAAGGTGGTGAGGAGGGCAAAGAGATGGATTTGTCAATGCAGCTTTTACCATCGAAGGTTGAGTTTCTCGAGCCTTATCTGCTTGGAATCACGCCGGAGCCACCTTACTGGCCTGAGAGAGATGAAGTCAGCAGGATCAGCATTGAGCATAAAGCAAACAGTCTTGACATCCCCCTTTCTCTGAGGATCTTAAAGAAGCAAAGATGGAAAGAGGGTTTTGTGGATGCAGGGGAGTATGCATATTGCTCTGTGAAAAATGCTTTTTCTTCACTGGTGTTCATCATTCGAGAGCTACAGAACCACACATGGCAGATAAGAGAGAATCTACAGCCTGAAGATTTGCGGGTGATTCTGACTAAGATGCAAGGAGACTTGAATTCCATGTTTGTGTGGCTGTTCCAACAAGTGTTCTCGAAAACACCCACACTTATGGTCTATTTGATGCTTCTTTTGGCTAATTTCTCTATACATTCCATGGCTACTCAACAACCAAGTACCACTCAAAAGGCTATTGCAGCAACCATGTCTCTTACAGAGGAAGAGAGTGAAGAAACGTCCGGGTGTGGTTCTTCTACTTCACTACAACATACTAGCGGAGAGCCAGGTTTATGGAAGTCAATGGTGGAGGAGGCTGCAAGAATGCAAGGAGGACATCATCAGAAGATAAATTTGCAGTTCAGACCAGATAACCATGAGGAGCTTGTCAAAACAAATATCGTTTACCAGATGTGTATAGCTGAGGAGCCGACTAATCCTCTTCTGGTTGTAAATTATGCCCGGTTTCTTTACCTTGTTGCCCATGACCATGACAGGTAAAATTCCTGGTCCTCTTTATTTGATTTGAGATTGTTTTCAAGCTCTTTTCGTTCTCATGAATTCCTTTATGAATGATAGGACTATAGCTTGAATGCTAGGAATAAGTATATCATTCCTGCATATGCAAAAGAAGTTGTATGTTTAGAAATTGTAGGAGAATACTATGGCCTGATTCACTGGCAATCTAGTTCTTTGCCTACTAGTATAGCAGATTACTAGACTGTCACAGCTCTTGCCGGCTTCAGAAAATGAAAATAGCTTGCTGATATTGTAGCTTCTGGTTCTTTTGGGATTATGCAGGGCAGAGGAGTGGTTCAAACGTGCTATTCAGATCGAACCACCAGACGCAGAGGCATTAGGTCAATACGCTGACTTCTTGTGGAAGGTGAGGAATGACCATTGGGAGGCAGAAGAAAGATACCTGCAAGCAGTTGCAGCTGACCCTGAAAACCCTCACTATGCATCCAAGTATGCCGATTTCCTGTGGAGCACTGGTGCTAAAGATATCTGTTTCCCTCTCAGCTCTCCTCATGACAGCTATGACAAAGTTTCTTAATCTAGTAGAAATAGGATTGATCATAAAAGCAATAAGTTTTCCCCCCTGGAATTTTTGTTCATCTGATCCTTCTGGCATTCGTGTATCCGATCAGACCAATACCGTAAGACATGTCACCTTATTGGCTATCAATGCAGTCAACTAAATATGTAAGAAAGAAACTCCCAAAAGAATTTGTTGCACAAATGTAGATGCATAAATTTGTAATACTATTGGAATATAAACCTGGTATGATATCAAAGGCTTCTGCCAAGAAATTCCTTCTTGTTCTATATAAATATATGGGTTAATGCAGATGGATACGGCGGTAACGCTGAGTTTTACAGTACTGTTCTTGGCCTGTCCAGTCCAGCCATTGTCAGCTTAAACCTCGTAAAAGTAGTATCACACTCCAAAGCTTAACATGGATGAGTTACCACACAATCTTAAAATAATGAGAACTTAAACTGAAATTATTGCTAAAATCTTTAGCTCTAATTTATTGTGATGGATAGCTCAATAAGGATGGTTTCCTCACTAAGTTATCTTCTTGATATCGAAGGACATGGTTCAAGTCAAAGGAAAAGATTAATGGGATGAAATTTAATGTGAATTTTTTGACAAAAAGACTAATGTTTTAATCAAGTTGACAAATACGGTAGGTATTACCGTTGATAAATTTGACAAAATTCACTATATCCATTGAGTCGGAGACATCTTAAACATATAATATAAACAATGTTTTTATCTAATATCAATTTAATTTTCAATTGAAAACCTGTATTTTTGTTTACGAGACTTCAAAATTATTTGTAATTATCTATCTATATCCGAGATTTGCACTAATTAATTAATATGAACAAAGCATCTGTACCTTGAGGGTAATGGCAAGAATCTTGGGTTTGTATGTGCAAAAATTATTAAGATTAGCGACGTGATCTTTCACCATTGACAAGGAAACCCTTTTCCCTCATCCCGTGACTGAGCAAACTTACTTTGTTGCTGGAAAGGGGCAATGTCCCTATAGCCAGATGATTTTTGATGAGATTTTTATTTTCCATGTTAGCTAGCGAAACACAATAATAGGAATGCGAAGAACATCTCATTAGATCTCCAGAACCAGAGACCAAAAAAGGCTTCAAGCAGTAATCTCGAATGGCGACCGCCATCGTTGTTAAGAGTACAAGAAAACCAGGCTCCAAGAGCCGCAGGGCCAAAAAAGCTGTATCCCCAAAACATATAAGCTATTTTCAATATTATACAACTCAAGACAAAAAAAAAGAAAAAAGAGTAGGAATATCTCAACTGCTTACTGTGCTAAAAGAGTGGAAATTTCGAGATCGAAATGCAGTAGAATCTCAGCATCACCAAAGCCAGACATTCCGGCTATCGACAGCCTTCATAGAAGTAGATATTAAGGGCATTCGACCAAACTCAGCGACAAATTTGTTAACACATTGAGTTCTCCTATTACTATGACCTCCCAAGCTGCTAATTCCAGTTGAACCAATCTCAAATATTTTACCTACAATTGGTGCAGAAGAATGTATTTAACATTAGAAGGACGTAGAAGCCTAAAGGGAAATATAGCATGCAAAGCTTGTTCACAATTTTGTTATCATTAAAATTTGGAATCATAGAATGAATTCAATCCAAACCAGTTTGAAGATTAAATTTCTCTCCCCAACAAATGAAGGACAAGTTAGTCAGAGACAACGAAGGATACATAATAAGGTTGCCATATCATCAATGGACATCTAAAGCCTAATGGTTTTAACTCAAGTATCTGGAAGAGAGCACCCAAGAAAGCATCATTTTGAGAGACCAAACAGAACAAACATCATCACTTGCATACGGTTTTAGCATCTCCCTCATAGGACTTCTGATGAGCAATCTACAGTGATGAGCAATCATGGCATGTCTGTAGGTTAAAAAATAGAGTCTAACAGACCATAGTTCTTATTGGCAAACATCATTTTTGTAATGTTCTCCATTTTATCGATTTGCTATTTTGCTTCTTTAAGTAGAAGTAAACTATGACTTGTCTCATGTCAACTCTGTCTCAGCTGGCTATCAGTTAATATCCAGTTTTTTAACAAGGATTGCTACTTCCTTGATGCCTGATGATTAAGTGTTAACTTTCTTTCCTTTCCTCTTTTCAAAGATTTTCATATGCATGCCTCCAATCATTTTCACATACAGAACATGAATGACAAAAGAGAACGAAAAATATATAATAAGTTGAAGACTCCTTTAGATTTACCTTTCACCCATATGGGAGGAGCACCTGTTGCATTTGCAACAAGAAATGACATTGCAATATCTTCACAATTCCTGGTGAATCCAGCAAAGGAGTTAGTATATTAATAAAACATGTAACACGCATAAAATGATGAAAAATTTAAGCAATAGTAGTAAATAAAGAGGGACCTGTTCCTGGTTATGTATTCTTTAATTGATGCAGGCATCTCATCAGTGTAAAGTTTGAGATATTTTTTGTGGAAGAAGGCAGCCTTTGAGAGGATCATACTATATGAACCAGTCCACCAAACAGACCACCATCCACCATATATGTAATTATCCTTGCCTTTCTGCATAAAGATGAACATATGAAGAAGGTCTTTTTAGACTAATTACCATGTTTTATCATCCAGCAGGCTTATGATTGTCAAATTCACGCCAACAAATATGAAGTTTGACACCAGAAATAGGCATATTTCCAATTACATGTCTGAAGTCTGAAGTCTATGACCATGAAACTTACCAAAGGAAAATGATAACAAGAGGCTACAGCAAGGCTGACATTGCAATCAACAGAAAAAATTATTAAAACTAAGAATTTGCAAGACAGCTGCATACCGTTTCATCCACCCAATGCATACGGGGCACATATCCCACCATTGTATCTGGGGCACTTTGCCAAACAGTGAAAGCAAATTCTACTGAAGAGCAAGGAAATATAACATCATCATCAATCGAAAAAACAGCATCCGTCTTCAAATCCTTAATTTCTTTAAATCTGTTGTTCAAGCTATCTTCCTTATTGATATCAAATACCAACTCAACTCGGCGACCATTTCTTGTGTTCAACTGTACCACATGGTTAAGAAATCTTTTAAGAGAATCCGATGGCGGATCAGGCTCACTCCACACAATATGTATAGACTCGAGCCTAGGACATGACGCATAGTGAGAAATGGACTTCTTCAAGAGATCATATCTTTTCCAAGTGTTCATTACAATTGCATATCTTCCCCTGTACAACAAAAATAAAAAATCCAGCAATGAACATCACCACTTTATCATCAAATTTCATTTGCATCAAACTGAATTCAGTAGATTTCAATTTTCTATTTGAATATCAATCATCTCTAGATATTTTTAGTAACATTTTTAAGCTCATATTGATTTAATTTGAGACCCTAAATATTTTCTTTAAAAATTTTAAAGATGTTAACTTTCCTAAACATAAACCTTCTAGCCATATTTCAATGTACTATCTAAACGTAATGAACACTCAACAAAGTTCAAAGCTTTAGAATTTTTACTTGAATACCAATCATTTCTCAATGTCTTACTAGAATTTTAGCTGAAAACTGGTTTAGTCTCAGATCCTAATTGTTCTTATAGTTTAAAAATGTTAACTTCCATAAATAAAAATCTTTTAACGAAGCTTTTATTAATTAACGAAACTATCTGCAAATCTAATCAGATTTGAATTACAGTCCTAATTTAGATATTAAGTTTATTAAGTTTTCAAAGAATCCAGCTTTATTTAACCTTGGAAACTACTCAACGAATTTTAATGGAAGATTCCCTGATTTATCTAATCTAGACTTATAAGTGAAAGTTCAGGGGAGATTAGTTGCGAAACGTACCGTGGAGAAGATGAGCTGTGGAGCGAATCACCGTCACCGGTCCATCCCATAAAGGAAGAACTGTCGCGGTTACGGTTCGAGACCGCGAGTAGAGTTAACGCGACGCAACCGCAGAGAAGGATCCTGATCTTCACCGATCCAAGCGTCGCGATCCCAACTTGACGTAACTTGAAAACCGTTCGACGGTTAACCGGTAAGCTGCCTCTCATCACCCTCTCTCTCTCTCTCTTTCTATCACACACTCTTTTCCTTTTCTCTTACTACAAGAAAGAAAAAAAAAAAGGACCGACTCGGTCCGAACTCGGGAGGTGTGACTCTGGAATGGAACCCGAGTCACGAAACGGACCCTTTCATGCGGTTACTATATAATTGTTATATATTTTTTTTGGTTCCGGTGCCGTGACGTGGAGGTACGGTTTTCGCCAGGTGGAGGACGGAAGGCGGAAATGATAGACTGTGGTGAAGTGTAGAAGGTTAAGGAAGTAGATGCCCATAGAAGGATTTAAGGTGAACACGTGGAGGCAGACTATTGGCTCAAATCAGTGAAATTTACAGTTTTTATTCTTTTATCTATATTTTATTTTGGTCAATTTTTTCTTTTTCATTTTTTTCATATTTTTTTATTTTAATTTGGTTTCATGAGTAAGAATATTAGAGGATTATTAGGTTCTTTTCCACTATTTTTATTTCGAGAAAAATAAAATTCAAATTCAATTTTTTAGTAAAAAGTACACGCATTTATTATTTAGTCAAATGATTTGATATAATTATTATTAAATAATAATATTCATATGATATTAAATAAAAAAATTATAGATTATTATATAAAAATAAATTAAAATATTATCAGTACGGACTTTTTAAAAGTCAAATTTTTAACAAAAAGTACACGCTTTTGAAGGTAGACGACAATATTTTTTAATTTTTAATTTTTTTATTATTATATTATAAAATTGAAAATATATAATATAATTATATTTTAATTACTATTTTATCTGTCACTGTTAGGAGTTACTGTTGAGACAATTTATAAAAGTCATAAAAATTGACTTAATGAATTGGACCACTGAATGTGACATGACAGCATGCGCCAAGAAATTCTATATATTTAAGAGAAAAAAAATATTTGAAAATTGGCCAGGCAAAAGGTGGGACCATCTCTGAACACCTGGAGGAGAGTTACTTGCTTGGAAGAATTAATCAATTCCTGCTGGAGAAGACATTTTTGCTGATTTTTCTCTTTTTGGATGCGAAATCTTGTTCTTATCTTGGGTTTGGCAAATGGTTAAATCTGCTAATTCCAGGCCTTGTTTATTGACCCATTTTAAGAGATATTGGGCCTCAAAGACTATGCCCAAAATCAAAATTGGGCTTTCTAGTTCTAATATCACGATTGGATTTGAAATTAAAGATTTTTCTTCACTTATTGAAGTGAAAATATTGACTCAGTGTCAAATATTATCCAATTCTTCATTAACATGAGATTCCTTGTGAGACATAACAGGATCGAGATAGACTCAGATCAAGGTGAATCCCTTTTCCTACCATAGGTGAATGATAAAATGAGTCTCGGACCTAACGGACATGTCTAATCTTCATTATTTATGATAAAATTCTCATATACCAGTCAAATTGTTTGAACAAATTCAATGACCTTGTAATTTGCTTGTAAAAATACTTCATTTCTTTAACATCTTTGGGTTCATAATTATTCTCACAAGACTTCATTGAAAAGCAAATACAGAAGACTTTTGTAAGCCTATTGATTACTAAATTTTGTGCTGGGATTAGGTGAGCAGCAGCAATTTTGTGAGGCTAAATGATATGGGCAGGCCAACAAATAAGCTGTGGCCTTAAATCAACAGGCGGTTTGGGGAGGTTTGGATAATCTTATCCTTACACATATTTTAAACAAAATGCAAAAGCGACCATTATATGCTTAATTGTTAAATTTATGTATTAGGTATGAAATCATTACCCTTCTGGACACCTAAGCCACCTCCAATATCTTTTTTATATATGGTTTATGTGTGGTTCATCTCTTTTACTATATGATTGTTTCCTTTTTTTTTTTTTAATTTTATGTTTGGAATAGTAGCACTCTTAATAGATTAACATAAATTACATTTGTTTTCAATTAAATATAACTCTATAGCCGGTTGTCTAGTGTATATATACATGTAATGATCATTGAGTCAAATGTTTAAACTTGAAAAGAAAGAATTTAGAAATTACGATATTTAAATATCCAAATTAACTAGTAAAGTAAATAAAGGGGATCTTCTGTAAGAATAAATGGTATTATTTGGAGAGAATTTAAAGTACATGTCTATTGCATATATACATCTACTGATCATTGAGTCAAATTTTTAGATAAAAAAAATTAAAATTACGATATTTGAATGTCCAAGATAAATAAAGGGTTTCTTCTGTTAAGAATGGATGGAGCCATTTTGGGGAGAATTGGGATGCTTGGTTTGGGACAACCAGTAGAAGTTAAACTAAATGTAAGACACCATGGAGCTTCAACTTGAAGATTGACCACAACTTTTCTTTTTGTTGAAATCTCTCATAATGTTCCAGGACCTTGCAACGCAAGGGAGTCCCCCCCCCCAACTCCATGATTGTGCTGGAAATCAACCTTGGTGCTATTTTCTTTATGATGACAACCCCAAAATGCTTGATCAAGACCTCCAAAAGCATGCCCAAAGGCCCCCCCTTGCCACAAATTTTGAGCCTGGAATCACTCACCCTAAAGCTTGGCCAAGGGATATGGGGCCCATTGCATGTTTACCAGACAAAAAACTATTTCCTAAATTTATGCATGATATGATGTCTTTAACCTAAAGCTTTTGCCAGCATAAAATTAATGATAAAGCTAGAAAGATTCTGAATTGATTACAATGTTATTACATTACAATTATTTTTTGTTATCCATACATCACAGGGGAGAATTAAATATAAAAGAGATTAGCCGACTGGTTTTAATATAATCAAAATTCCTTGGGTCCATTATTATCTTCCAAAAAGAACTTGGCTGGATGACAGTTTCTTTTCTGCATTTTCTTTGCACTTTTAGGGGATAATCATTGGTTCACATAAACCCAAGTCCAGATTAAAGAAATGATCAATAATCTTGGAAGAAATACCAGAATAGAGAAAAGGGTTATGAACTAACCACATGCTTTCTCTATTCGGACAAGCAATGACAGAAAAGAAAAAACCTGATGAGTACATGATGAAAATGAGAAGCTCTCCAAGCCTCTAACTCAGATAAATTTAACCTAGTGGAAATGGGAGACTATTGCATGTTTTTATTGATGGATGATATACATATATAACACAATGAAAATGGCATAATTCAAAGCCCTGGAGCATCTTGAAAGGCTCAGATGCTTGCCTATCAGTACCAAAACAACAAATCTTAATCAGTTAATCCCCATTTGGTAATCAACCCTCTGCAGAAACTACTAGCACCCACTAGTAAAAAGAGAAAGAGAAATGACATTTTGCTGCTAATCCTACTCAGGACAACTTATTCTTCCTCTAATGATGTATGACTTTAGTGGAGTAAACTCTACTCCAACACTGCTGTGGATAGGTTTTAACACTGTACAAGAAGCTTACGTGTTACTCCTTCACACCGCCCCATGTGGCGGAAATTTATAGCCATGTTTTCCAAGTACAAGACCGCGAGCTAAACATGGTCTTTTAAGTTTTTTCAACCCAGCTGAAAATTTGGTCCTAGGTTCATTGGAACTTGCTGGAAACAACATTGGCTACTACTTTAGGCCTCTGTGAGTTTGGATCCTATCCTTGTCAAGTTCTGCATTAATTGTCATTAGAAAATGACGTTTCTTCTTTTACCTGCATGCCCTGGTAACTGGTAAGTCTGCAGTAAAGAAGAAAAAGGACTATGATGCTGTTAAATTGACAGCAAGTGAACTTATGTCGACGATTTTTAACAGCTCAAAGTTACTTCAATTCAGTCAGGATTTCAGTTTTGACTAGCTTTAACCATTGGAAAATACACAGAACACTTAACAATAATAATCAATCAATCCCTGGGTTTGACAAATAGTGGCAATGGGGCGGTGGGTTGATGATCGTCAGCTCATATATTTGTGTGGCCAAAATTGAGCCAACAAGTGTTGTAGCGGCACCACATTGTCGTTTGTAGCAATAACATTCCAATGAGTGTTCATGGGATTTTCCATAAACCCCAAAGAAAATGCAGAAAACGATTGGTCGGTCAGAAATAAGCAAAATAAATAAATAATTTATATAATTATTGCTTAGCATTTCTCATCCAACTTGGCCTATAAAAAACACCCCACCAAGCTCGTACACCCCACTAGCACAGAAAAACGGGCGGTTTTCTTCGTTGGCTTTTACAAGTGTTGCGCTAGGAGTCTGATTGTAAAGAGCAAAGGAAGAAGGAAAATGGAGGGCAAAGAAGAGGATGTTAGATTGGGAGCCAACAAGTTCTCAGAGAGGCAGCCGATTGGGACTGCAGCTCAGAGCCAAGATGAGGGGAAGGACTACACTGAAACCACCACGCGGCTCCACTTTTTGAGCCCGGAGAGTTGACCTCTTGGTCTTTTACAGAGCTGGGATTGCAGAGTTCGTGGCTACTTCCTCTCGTATATCACCTTTTGACTGTCATGGAGTGTGTTAAGGAGAAAACTAAGTGCCCAACTGTTGGGATTTGCGATCGTTGGGCCTTTGGTGGCATGATCTTGCTCTTGTTTACTGCACTGCTGGATTCCAGGTATATTCCTCTCTCTCTCTCTCTCCTCTTGTTTTTCCTTTTGGGTTCTTCTAAAACTGATAAAAAATAAAAACTTTGCGTAAATACTGGATATCGTTGTGAATTTTGGTGATGGTGGTGGATAGGTGGTCACATCAACCCGGCGGTGACATTCGGGCTGTTCTTGGCGAGGAAACTGTCCTTGACAAGGGCAATTTTCTACATGGTGATGCAGTGCTTGGGAGCCATCTGCGGTGCTGGTGTGGTGAAGGGATTCATGGGAAAGCGAAGGTACGGTGCTTTGAATGGTGGAGCCAACTTCGTCGCACATGGCTACACCAAGGGAGATGGCCTTGGTGCTGAGATTGTCGGTACCTTTATCCTTGTATACACCGTCTTCTCAGCCACCGATGCCAAGCGCAGTGCCAGAGACTCTCACGTCCCTGTAAGTATTCTCGCTCTCGCTTCCCAACAAGCATGTGCTTACAAATACATACATGTCACATGCAACTTCCACGTCCATCATCAAATTGATCATTAAATTTGAATAAATTAGATTGGATATGTTCCCAAGCGAAGATGAAGCTTTGCATATGGTATTAAACGGGGTGAACTGTGTTTTGGTAGATCTTGGCACCCTTGCCAATTGGGTTCGCAGTGTTCTTGGCATTGGCCACCATCCCAATAACAGGAACTGGCATCAACCCAGCTCGCAGTCTTGGTGCAGCCATCATTTTCAACAAGGAAAGGGGCTGGAATGACCATGTAAGCCTCTTAAGTTTCCTCACTTTCCACTATTGTTTTCCCACCCTTGCTCACTATGGTTTGATGCTTATCTACTTTTGCTTTGGTCTGTATGCAGTGGTGGCGGCCATTCATTGGGGAACACTGGCAGCTCTCTACCACCAAGTTGTGATCAGAGCCATGCCTTTCAAATCAAAGTGATCAAGCCAACGGCATGATTGTGATTATCATATTTATGGCCCTTCATGTCATAATCTCAAGATAAAAAAAAGAAAAAGAAAAATCCCACCACCTTTAAGTTTGTTCCATTTTTCTTTTGTTTGCATGCCTGTGAATCTGTATGTAAGAAATGTAATGTGCTTCAAGGGGATCCTTCTTGCTTTTACCCTTTTCTTTTTTTGTGTATAAATAAGGTTGTCTTGCTGCCGAGCCCAAGGTCTCTCAAAGTAAGTGGGCATTTGTATCTGTATGTCTGTGATTTGTGAAATGTCATTTTCATAATAACACCGACCAATACCTACTCCATGGCTTCCGTGTTCTAAATTATGTCATTGCCTTGGGGCTGATGCGTCTCTTTCTGATATTAAATTTCTTCTGTGATGATGAGGTTTGATACTGATATCATAACCATCAAGATAAGGAAGAAAGCTCTAGCAGAACATATAAAAGTAAAAACAGTCACTAATTTCTACGATGTTTGCCATCAATTGTCATATAATAATGAATCTTATCACTTCACACAAGTGAAAACAATATTTTGGTCTCAATTCCAGATAAGATGGTCTGAGGTATTGCAGTAAACCATTGTTGTAGAAGGAATGTTATGCCTGTGGCCCTTTTGGTTATAGTTTCTGCAGTGATGGTCACAAAACTAAATTCACTAACCGGAGAGAGCTTCATGTCTTCAACCCTTGGTTTTTTTAAGTTCTCTTTTCAGTTTTTGCGTATACTTCAACTGAATCTTTTTGCTTGCTTGGTGCAACTGGCAAAGCATATGCCAAAGTTTGGTTTTAGGTACTGCTAGGCACAAAACTAGATGCTACCTAACCAGATTGTCCCAAGTCTCAACAGTTTCCACTTGGCTAGGAGCTATTGTTTTCTGTAGTCTTGTCTTTATAGTCTAATTAACAACTCATTTTGAATAATAATAACCACTCAAAACTAACTTAAAAGAGAAGGATACCAGTGCCTATGTCATAGATGTGCCTAATCAAAAGATGTAGATAAGGTTAGCTGACATATACTGCAAAATGAAATGTCATCAGTTTGATCTTTTTTTGCCGATTAATCTTTTCTTTTTTTTTTTCTCCCACAGTCTTAGGTCAGAATTCTTTCTTTTTCAGCGCAACAACAATTCTGACACCCTTGGTTGATTGTTTTCCCTGCTTGAAATCTTCAACTAGACCTTATCACACAGCTTGTCAGTAGCATCTTCTCCAAACTGCTGTGAAACCATGGAGTCTGTCAAGTCTCTGATGCTTTAAGCTTGTGACTCTGGGCCAGGCCACACATTTGATCTCCAATCTCTGATGCAGTTGTGTCTATAAACTCTGTTGTCAAAGATCCCTCTTATCCACCAAAGATTGAAAAAGTCTAATTTCTCTTCATCAATGATTCCCTGTGGACCAACAATGAATGCAGTCTTAATTAAGTAAAGAATCAAAAGTTGACTAATTTAACTTATAAATTTTCCTTTTCATTTAATGAAGATGTGGGGTTCTTTTAATAGGGGGAGGCAGTAAGTTGGGTATCTCTAGTTAGAAACATAACCATTAAATGAAGAAATAGGTGATGGGGTTTCACCTGTGTGAAAACCATGTAGGATATGGCCTCTGCTAGAACTTCCCATGTGTAGAACCTTGTGGGGATCTGCAGATTACCGTCCTTGAATTATCAAGACAGTACCGCAGGCAGGTAGCAGCTCCAGCTTCTTTGCTTCTTTGTTCATGAAGAGCATTTCCTTCTCCTCCATCGGCATTTTTCTTTACTGGAATCTGAATAATGATTTATATACCAGGAATTGTTGAAATGTTTTAAGTAGTTGAACGATTTCATAATTATAAATTCCTTTACAAAACTACCAGCCCTGCGGTAGTGAGAAAGTAACACAAAACAGGGGACAAGAAACCATAAAAGCTGTTACATGTGAAAGAAAAAAGAACCCAGAGCAATAAATCCCAGGTTGCTAATGGGATCAACCTCCTAAAACATTACAAAGACTCCCATTGGAAACAAAAAGGACAAGGAGTCAAATAGACTCATCCCACCACAACCCGGTTATTCTGTACAAAAGCAATATGACCAGCAGCAGCCTTAACACTCAAAATCACACAGTTACCAAGCTTCAAGTGCAACAAAAAAATCCCAGAAAAAACAAAGCAAGAACACACCAAAGACTTAAAGTCAAGACCAATTCTGGGTGTCGAGCCATTCCCATACCAAGAATCGAGAAGCTACAACAGCAGCAGACCAACCACTCAAACTGCAACAACAAAAAGATGACCTCCAAGCTCACACACATGTACCAGAAACTGCCTGCGCCACAACCACATTGAAGAACAAGCAACAATGTACAAACTCCACGAACAGGCAAAAGAAAGCTTGGAACAACCCAGCAACAGCAATAATATAGACGTTCGAAGCTTTAAACAGCACTAAGAAACTTAGACATTGCCGCATTGCCATAGAGAATTAGACTTGAACATTGACAGAACATGAGGAAAGGGCAAGACCAGAAAGAGATTGAAACACAGAACCAAACATAAAAATCAGACTCCAAGAACACCCAGCAGCAATAATAGCAACAAATCAGCAGAAAAAACACCATCGGAACACATGAAGCATTCATCAAGTATTGGAGGATTTTTTATTTTAAGATTTATTCTTTTATATAATCTTTCCTTGTTAATTTTTTTTTTACTTACACTCCAAAGAAATATAAGATTAAAAAACTTTTTTTTATATTATTTATTTTATTTGCACTTTCTTTTATAATATTTATTTTATTTGCACTTCAAGCAAGCTATGTATACTTGCCCTCAAAGTAAGCCATGTATATATATATGCATGTCTTCATCTTGCTAATGAAAATTAAGATTTTTTTAACTCAATTCTTTAGAGTCATTTTATTTTTCATGGTATCAAAATTGATTACGAAACCTTGATTTTTTTAAATAGCAAGAGATGATGTGAATAATGACAAACGCTAGAGTACTGAAGAATTGGTGGTGACTGCGAGTGCTAATCAAACCAAGGTCATTGAAACCACTTTTCTATTCTACTTGCATTCGTCTGATCATCTAGGTCTAATTTGTGTGACGCACCCGCTCAGTGAAAGTAAAGATAATTATTTCACGTAGAGGCTTAGCTTTATAAATGCCCTCTATTCCAAAAACAAAGTACGTTTTGTAGATGGAATGATAGAAAAACCAAATGCTGATTCTCTGGCTTTACAGCCATGGATACAATGTAATGCAGTGGTTATTTCATGGCTTACAAATGCACTGACTAAAGAGCTTCAAGGTAGTGCTGGTCATGTTGAAACTGTAAGAGAAATATAGGTAGATTTGGAAGAAAGATTTACTCAAGGAATTGTGCTGAAAGTCTATGAGTTGATGCATACCATAACTCTTTTACAACAAGAGAAATCCTCAATCTCATGCTACTATGGTAAATTAAAAATCATTTAGGGTGAGTTACAGGGTCTCAATTCAGTCCCGTCATGCAAATGTGTATGTACCTGTGGTGCGGCGAAAAGGATGCAATCTATGCATGAGGAAGAAAAGGTTTTTGATTTTTTTTTATGGGACTTGATGAAGTATATTCAACTGTGCGATCACAAATATTGAGTGTTGACCCATTGCCAAATCTTGAAAGAGCTTACATTATTGCAGGACAGGAAGAAAAGCAACGTTTGGTTGCTATAACTCGTACATTAATCATTGAAGCTATTGCCTTGTTGACTAAAGAAAATGATTTGTGACAAAAGAAAAATGATGATGGGTGTCGTAATCGATTTCTATCCTATATCTATTGTGGGAAGACAAACCATAACAAAGAATATTGCTTCAAAGTGATTGGTTATCCAGATTGGCGCAAATATGGAAGAGGAGCGGCAAACAAACTAATAGTGATCAATTGCATTCTCGAGGAAATCAATTGGATGGCAGCGTAACAACAAGCATGTCTTCAGGAGCTGTTTGTACCGCCATTGTGGATGTAGTTGATCGCCTATCCCAAGTTTGACTTCTGAGCAACATCAACAACTACTAACTTTACTAGGTAGTGATGGAGCATCAATGGGTAACCCAGCTACAAACATGGCAACCTCCAATTTTTTCGGTAAGAGAAACGATGAATGGGTTGTAGATATAGGAGTCACAAATCATATAATCCATAATATAAACTCTTTATCAAATGTGGTATCTCAACTCGATATACCACCAGTACAAATCTTTAACAATGAAACAATAGAGTTTCATGATTTGGGCCAAGTTGCTCTTGGAAAAAGATTAATCCTTGAATGAGTCCTTAGGGTCTCGGATTCTTGTTTCAATTTATTGTCTGTTAGTAAATTGACATATGATTTATATTGTACGGTAACCTTTTGGTTGGATTTTTTTGTGATTCAGGACTTACCCTTGAGGCAGCCGATTAGAGGGGTAGAGAGTGGAATGGTCTTTATTACTTGGAGTCGATGAGATAGGAGAGAGCATTGATAGCCAACGATTAGGTTAATGCAAGTTTATGGCATCGACGTTTGAGGCATCTACTAGTAAATCACATTCCTTTGGTTCTTAATTTATTTATTTCTTTGATTGCAAGAAGACTTTATTTTATGATGCTTGTTGTAAAGCAAAGCAAACACGATTATATTTTTCCATCAGTACAAATAAGACTATGTATGCCTTTGACTTAGTACACTATGATATTTGGGGCCCATACAAAACAAAATTATTTTCTGGATCTCACTATTTTTTAACCACAGTGGATGATTTCAGTCGAGAAACATGGGTCTTCCTCATAAAATACAAGTTAGATACCAGAATGTATCTATTGCAATTTTTTAATTGGGTTGACACACAATTTAACTTGCAAGTTAAAATTCTACGTGTAGATAATGGCTTAGAATTTATTCATGATGATTTAATGACTTATTATTTGATCATGGCATGGAACGTCAATTTAATTGTACAGAGACA